TCCGGTAAGAGACCGTGCGTCTAGTAGGGTGAATGTATCCAGGGATCGCCTCTTTGGTTATGACAGCATACTACTTTTAGAGCCCGTTTTTGCTTTGTTGGCCAGGGGCTAGAGCCTAACGCTCCTATCAACATGCCGTTGCCTGCCTGCATGTACCACACGGTAGAGTCCTCTAACGTAGGTACTTACTCGCCGCACACTTCTAGGCACAACCTTCCGGCAGCCTGTCCAACGTCTTGTATGGGCTTCGCTGTCCTGACCAATCCCGTGTATCTGGGCCGTCTGTGTTGCACCTCTGCCCGTGTCAAGCTTCGGGCATCAGATGGTCTCAGCTGAGCCCGGAGCAGTGAACACCGCACTTGGATCTCTCTACATCTTGCTCCGAGCGCGCAATAAGTGGCACATGCTAGACGGAGCTGGTAAGGATGCTTCCTTGCCGACAAACCTCCGCCAACGATTACGAACGTCTACTGCCCTGAGACGGCTTTCCCGCAAGTGATCTCATGCTCAACACGTCTGGTTCGAGCATCGCGCATCCTTCCCACCTGCAATTGGGCGGGTCATCACAGCTGTCCCGCACGCTGACCGCTATAATATCTTCCGCGTCTCCAAGCACTCAAACGGCCACGATGCGAGTGGACGGGCGCTGGCCATGATCTGATGCAGCGTGCATATCATCTTGTTCCAGAGCGGAGACATCCCTGTTCTGAGGTTTCGCCTAGCCGTCAAAGTGGATTTAGCCTCAACGCTGCAACCAGGATGCCCCAGGGCGGTGAGCACACTTTTCTCGAATTTTTCTTTAACGGAAGTTTTCCTACTGGCATGCGGCCAACCCTCGGCAACGTTAATACGCGAACGACAAAAACCGTTCTCAGCACATGTGGCTTGATTGCTGCTTGTTCATTGATAACTCATTGATAACGAGTGGCATTGATGCCCGGAAAAAGCACAGTGATGATGGATGCCGAGCTGGATCTTCTGGCACATCAGTTTCATCAGCCTCCACTCCGCATTGCGACCACACCCCCAAACATTGCGCACGCGAGTTGCCATCACTTCCGATGGCTGCGCAGGGATTGTGCATACGTCTTTCCCCAATGGGGACAGGCGCATGGAACCAGGTCCGGTCTGCATGCGCAGCACAGCGTCACCTTTTGTGGGGAACTGGAAGGTATGGCGCCGCACTTGTCCTGTGGGCAGACAGATTCACGGATGCGCTACGTATCTTCCCCAGACGAAGTGTGGACTGCATGAGGAAGTTGGCAAGTCGTGAAAGACGGTGAAGATGCATTGTTTGTTTGCTTGTTCCCACACGCAACCTCGTCGACACTGATAAAGATGCATGTCAGCCATGGACGTGTCGCTGGGTGTGCTCGGCAATGATGATTACGAGGTGCGAGCCCATCGTGCTCAACGGTAGGGCATCAGACCCCAGACGCACATGCAAACGCATGGCGTGCCCGGATGATAAGACAGAACAAAGTTCGGGCGAGCCATGTCGCGTTCCAGTCTGCCGTGACGCGATTGTCCTTTGCCCATGATCCCGACCGCAGATCTCGCTTGACCTTCTGTTGGATCCCAGGTTATCGATGGTCGCGATCTGGAAATTGCCGTTTTGGGCCTTCCCCTCCTTCTGCCATAACGCGTAAAGTTGACGTCGTTTGAGACAGAACTAAGCTGCCTGATAGAGTGCAACAGCTTGGGTAGTGGACTTGGAGTAAGTTTAGGCGCACTGTCTATAATAGCGGCAGCGCTGCAACATTTCGATCATTCTCGATCATGGTGAATGTGGGGAAGGTGACACGGCGACTTATTATCTCCACAGTGACCACCAGGACTTTTGTGTTACCGGGGATCCGGCTTGAGCAGCAAGCGGCTGCTCGACTGCGGTGGTCTCGGCCAATCTTTGCCGCATGCCCTTCCTGGGTCTCAACTGTAACCACCATGTCGTGCCGAAGTTGTAGCGCTTTATGTTGACAACTTCCAGCCCGCTCTCTTCGACAATTTTGCCGATATCTTTGTTCCACCAGCAACCATGTTCGTCCGCATGGGCTGGAGCTGACTTGTCCAGTATGTTGTTGAGCCACTCGTAATGCGACTTGCCGTGCTCTAGAAGCAAGATCTGTCCATTCTCATTGGTGCACGACTCGAGATTCTGGAGCAGCTTCACGGGCTCGGGCGTGGAGCAAAGTCCCATTGTCTGTATCACCGTATCGTAGCCAACTTGGGCATCAAATGGGGGCGTAATCGGATCTAAGGCAGATTGCTGCTTGAAGAAGACACGGCTAAAGTACTCCTTGTGCGTGTCGTTCCACTTCCGCCTTGCAACAGCCAGCATGGGCCCGCTAGAATCGAGTAGCGTCACCGTCGCACATTGCTTGGTCTTGTAGTATGGTATGTTCCTGCCTGTACCGACAGCCACCTCTAGCACATGTCCCTTGGCCATGGCAGTGAGCTTCTTGCGCTTAGAAGTCAATAAGAGCAGCATCTCAGATGTGTCCACTTTCTCGTCATAGCCCTCAGCCTCTTTGTCGAATCGATCGGACAGGTCTTCAGGTAAGTTTCCCAGGTCCGTTTCCTGCGTCAACGAAGCGTAGAGCATGGTTCCGTATGTGCCCAACCCAAATGCGATCAACCCAATACCGAACATTGGCCATTGTCTCGCTCTCCGCAGTTTTGCCTGGTGTTGCGCCGACTTCAGTTCCTCATCTGAAAGCCGCTGTAGATCTGAGAGCCGCGGACGTGCTGCCAGCACTCTCTTCAGTGCTTGTTCGGGTGTTTGGTTCCTTGGAGCATATAGCGGTACTTCGTTATCGTGTTGCGCTCGTTGTATTCGTATGTGTTGTGGTATCGCGGGCTTCGACGGTATCGTGTGCTTTACGGGGAACGCCTTCGGGGGCTTCGGTAACTTTGCCATTGCGATACAGGCAGACCCAGAATAACTTAGTAGCGGATGACGTTGAGGTGCGATTGGTGAGGCTGTCGATGTCGAATTGAGGCCTCAAATCTTTCCATGCACCGATGACCCAATCTCTCGGTAGCGTCAAAGCTCCCTGCAGCCACGAGGTTCAACCGTGCCCAGCCGACGCACGCCCTTCAAATCATCAGTCAGTCAACGATATCGGCCCACCAGCGGCACTTGCACGCCGTTCGGACGCAGGTAGGTGGACTTTTCTCCATGCCTTTCCTTCCTTTTGCTCAGTTGCTATACGTTCAAACATCTTAATCTCGCGCGCAATGGCTTATTCTGCATCTCTTGAGAGACCCTCATCCATCCTAATCGTCGGCAGCGGTGCATTTGGACTTTCCACAGCTTATTCGTTATGTCAAAACCCGCAGTACAAGGATACCTCAATTACTGTTGTAGACCGTCAGCCCTTCCCTACACCTGATGGTTCGAGTGTAAGTAGAGCAATTCAATCTAAATTTTCTCGACGCCATACCCTGGAGCAGAAAACTCCCTAGTGATCGGAACAACCGCTTCATTCAAGACCAAACACTCAAGCGAACGCATACAGATCGACGCCTCACGAATCATCCGTCCCGACTACGCTGCCGCGCGCTATACCCGTCTCGCAACCGTCGCACAAAACCGCTGGCGCACCGACTTCGCGACCGAACACTACCATGAGGTCGGCTTATGTGTAACAGCATGGGGCCCAGAGCAGAAGTACGTCTCCAGCTCGCTCGAAAATGTTCGCGCGATAGGGACAGACAGAGTGGAAGTGCTCAACTCGGCGGAAGAAATACAGAAAGCATGTGGTCTGGAGGGCAAAGATCCCTGGGGTAATGGCTGCACCGGTTACGTGAACTGGAGTTCAGGCTGGGCAGACGCAGAGGGTGCAATGATGTGGTTGAGAGAAAAGGTGGAGAAGCTGGGGAGAGTGAAGTTTGTCACAAAGGGCGTGAAGAAGCTGTTGATCGATCACAAAACCAACACTGTCTCCGGTGTACGGCTCGACGATTCGACCGAATTGAAGGCGGACCTTACAATGCTGGCGGCAGGCGCATGGACGGCATCGCTCATCGATCTCCGTGGCATTTGTAAAGCCACCGGGCAGGCGCTGTGCTACATGCCCATCTCCAAGGAGGAGGAAGCGAAGATGGCTCCGCGGCCAACTATTCTGAACCTCTCCCACGGCCTCTTCATGATCCCGCCTCACAAGGGCTTGCTCAAAGTAGCGCGCCACGGCCACGGCTATCTCAACCCAACCACAATCCCACACCCAGAATCTGAAGACCCGAACGAGACAATCGTAACCTCGCTTCCCTACACACACGTCGACGACCCATCGCAAGCCGTCCCTATAGAAGGCCAACGCCAATGCCGAGACTTCCTCACCGCGATCCACCCCTCCCTCGCCGTTCCCTCGCGACCGTTCACAAAATCGAAAATCTGCTGGTATACTGATACAAGGGATGGTGACTTTTTGATCTCGTATCATCCCAAGTACAAGGGGCTTTTTGTGGCAACAGGCGGTTCAGGACATGGCTTTAAGTTCTTGCCTGTTATTGGCGATAGCATTGTGGAGTGTATTGAGGGGAGGACACCGGAGGACTTCAAGGGCCGCTGGGAGTGGCCAGCTGAACGTATACCAGAGGAGCAGTGGGCTGGTGATGGAAGCCGGGGTGGGCCTGTTGGTATGATCTTGCAGGAGGAGATGGAGAAGAGTCGGGGGAAGTTGTAAGTGGTCAATGTCACCATTTTCGCGCTCGAGCCTGGTATATCTCAAATAAATTGGTATACAAAAAGGATTGTGTACTGGCGTACATATGTGCTGACACAATATTGGATACCGAACTTCTTGACCCCCAGGGCTTTCTTCAAAGTCGAGGCACTATGCCCCCTAGCGTAAACGTTCTCAGCCTTGATGGATGAGGGCGACATATAATGGTTGCACGAAAACGAAGGACGGCTGAGAGGGTCCTATTACGGACAAGCGCGACATGTGCATGCTGTCAGCTTCTTGACCCGGCTGCATATATGGCCCCAGCTCGGAATGGAGGCATGTACTATGATAGGACACATCACAGTGGCTGCGCAGCAAGGTACGGAAGGCACTGGCTATATGCTACAAGCCGACATGCAGGCGGCGGCTGCCGTGGCTGAGATCCAGCCTAGTGCATTCTATGCCTCCGGGGGTACGGCTCCGACATATAAGGGACACTTACATTCGGCTTACAATCTTTTCACCTCAACACTATCTTCGACAACCAACTACCTACCGCGCCGCAAGGCGTTGGGGTCACGCACCCTTAGGCTTCACGCCTAGCCCACATAACTGCCGGCGAAGGCCTACGTAGTCTTCGCCTTTCCTTCTTTCCATTTCACTTCGTTCGCGTAATGCTTTATCTTCATATGTGCGATGTCTTCGGCGTTCTACCTCAAGTGTCTTTAGTCCGTTTGCTTTTGAATTAGACATCAATCCTGTTATACACGCTCCGTATCTTATCGGCGACTCTACCCCCGAGGACGACATACCGACTCTTGTCGACAACAACAGCTCTTCCACGATTGGTGAGCAATCATTGGATACATCTGGTACTGCAGAAGTTGGTTTCGAAGATGGCCAGCAATCAAGCTCGCCACCCACTGAACAGTGGGCACATCCCGAGGATAGCAACACAAATGAGGCGCATGAGCTCTCTTGCCGCTTCTGTGAATTAGCTTTCAGTCGGCACTGCGATCTCAAGTACGTATGATCATATCCCAGGATAAGCTGAGGGTGCATCCTCTGACCAGTCCGCAGTGACCACATCAATCGCAAGCACCGACGACGTCACAAGTGCCCTTTCGACGGCTGCTCAAAGGCATTCAGTCTCCGAGCTGACCTGGCCCGCCACCTCAGGACACATCAACCGGTAGCAGCACAAGAACGCTTCGCCTGCCAAGTCCCAGGCTGTCAGAAGTCTTACACGCGATTCGACAACCTGCAGAAGCACGTCAAGAAGCATTCCACTCGCTGAGCGAGGTCTCGTGATTGCATAGATGGGTCTAAAGTACAGCGAAACGACCGAACGAAAACGAGGTCAAGAGAGTTGGCATCACCAGGATTTAGAACGAGTGTGTAGTAACAATGTCATATTTCAGTTTTTCATCGACGCATTCGAGATGCTTGCGTATGCTTCAAATTGTGTTCTGAAATATATATATGTCATACAAGATACACAATTCTCCATCTACGATATGATATGCCAGCACTTGGCAAGAAGGCGCTAAAACAAAAAAGCTACAAATGGTATCTCCCTATCTCAAACGCCGTAAAATGCCATGCTAAACTCACTCTCCCACCCCATCTTTCCCTCCAATCACCCATCCTCCTCCTCCCCATCTTTAATTCCTATCTTCCACCCCTACCTCCCCTACCCGCCGCACCCGCAGCAGGCGTCCTCCACTCATCCTTGAGCACCCATCTCCCCCTCTGCGCACTCCCGCTCTTCTCAAGCGTAGCAATCAACTTGAGCATCTCCTTGAACTCCTCGTTCCTTCCCGGCTGCGCACGGCAGTAATGGTCAAAATGATCAACCAGCATACGACTGGGTACCACACCACCATGGGTGAGCATGAAATCGCGGATCATTTCGAGCATGCGGCGGCCACGGAAGGTCTGCGGTGTTGTGGGTGCGGAGGGTGTGGAGCCGCGGGATGGGCTGGCGGATGTGGGTGTGTTGAGAGTTGTGCCGGGGTTGAGGAGCGTAGGACGGCCTTGTCGGGTGGCGAGGTTGTTGAGAATGGATGTTGATGAGGGGCCGCCGCCGCGTCCGCCGCCTCGTCCACCTCGACCACCGCGGCTGGATGGCATACCGCGGGATGCATCTGGTCGGCCTGCTTCACCAAATTGACCGGTCCATGTTGGTGTACCGGCGGGCACGTTTCGCGCTTCTTGCATGCTCTTCTTGAGTTGCTCGGCTGCTACGGCGGCTTGTCGCTTTGCTTCGCGTTGGATGTAGGCTGGGTCGGCTTGCACTTTGCGCTTTCGGCCGCCGGCTGTGGAGTTCATGATTGCGTCGTGTTCGAGGACGGAATGAACACCTGTTTTGGCGAAGATGGTGGACATCAGACGGGAATCTGTTGGGGGTTTGTCGGTGCCGTCTTCGTTAGTGGTAGCAGCAGCATCCTCGCCGTCGGAGACGGGGGCTTGGAAGGCTTCGGATCGCGAGATGCCTTTCACTGCGGCGAGGTCTTCGGCTCCTGTAGCATCTGCCGATGCCTCTGCAGTCTTACCATCCTCTTCAAACTTGACTTCTGAACCACGGAATAGGTTGCCTGTCTCGGTTTCACCCTCAACGTTCTCCACACCGAGCGTGAACAAGTCATGCAGATCGCTCATCTGGAATGATTGTCGCTGCTTAGGGTCTTTCAACACCTTGTTCGTCAAGAACTGCTTGAAAATCTGACGATGGTAAATCTTCTCTTCGATTGTGCCTGCAGACATCAGCCGGTATATTTCAACCTCTCGCTTCTGTCCCAGACGCCATGAACGCTCTCGCGCCTGTATGTCGGTCGAAGGATTCCAGTCCGGGTCGTAAATGATGACGCGATTGGCACCTGTGAGATTGACGCCAAGACCACCGACCTTCGTCGTGAGGAGGAAGACGTGTAGATTCGGATCGTTATTGAACTCATCAACAAGGTTCTGGCGGTCCTTGATCGGCGTCTCGCCGTCCATGCGACGCCAGTTGATGTCGGGTAACTGACTGACGAACTTCTGCAGGATGTCCAACATGATACGATGCTGAGCGAAGAGAAGGGTCTTGTGTCCGCCCTTCTTCCACAACGACAGCAGCTCCTTGACAACCTGCATCTTGCCAGATTTATTGGGGTTGCCATAGTCAAATCCCAGCTTCTTCGACAGGGTCTTATGCTCCGTCAGATCAGGATGATTGCAAATTTTGCGCAAGAAGTCGACACCGTAAAGCATCTGGCGCTTGCCGCTCGCAATTGATTTCATGTCCTCCGACGCCAGGAAACCCTCATATGCTTGTCGCTGCTGACGCGTGAGCTTACAGAAGAGTACCTGCTCCTTCTTCTGTGGCAAATCGGTTGCGACATCGACCTTGAACCGCTGCAGTAGGTAGGGGCTGATCGCATCCTTGAGGGTCTCGGCACACTGTACCGCTGTCTCAAACTCCAGGTTCGAAGCATTTGCGTAGCCACCACGCTTGATCGGGAATTCGAACTGGTTGCGGAAGTTCACCAGTGTGCCTAAGCGCATCGGGAATACAAAGTCAAAGAGCGACCAAAGCTCTGTTAGGTTGTTCTGCATCGGCGTGCCAGAGAGAATGACACGATTGGGCGTCCGCAACTCCTTGCAGTGGATCGTGATAGCAGTGTTCGGGTTCCTAATCTTGTGGCCCTCGTCTAGGATGGCGCATTCCCAGTCAGTAGGAATCAAGAACTCAGAGTAGGTCTGTAATCCTGAATACGTGGTGACAAGGACATGGCCGTCTCGCTTGACCTTCTCGAGGATCTTCTTAGCAGCCTTTCCAGCGCCAGTCAAAGTATTGTCGTAGTCGCCATAGTTCCGAAGCTCAAGTTCCCGCTCCATACGATCTTCTCGATGGGTGTCCAACATCCCGCTACCAGAAGTGTGTAGGATAGAAACTCGTAGCGCAGGCCACCAGCGGTGAAACTCATTGACCCATTGCTTCATGACCGTCGCGGGACAAACTACGATGACAGGCTTGGTGAGTTTCTTGGAGTAATGAAGGCCGGCAACGAAGCCGATAGCTTGAATGGTTTTACCCAAACCCATCTCATCGCCAATGATGCCACCAACATTCTGCGAGTACAGCTCCCAAAGCCACTGAACACCAGTCTTTTGATAATCGAACAATGCCGGGTAGATGTCTCCAGGGATGCGGAATCCGCCATCGAATTCAGTGTCAGCTTCAGTAGGATGAGGCTGGTAGCACTCTTCTTCATCCTCCTCCTCATCGGCAGTTGCCTCACCAGTATTGGCCTTGGCCTTTCTCCTAGCAGCGGCGCGGCTCTTGGACCAAGTCTCTATACGTTTCCGATATAGCCGCTCGTTGCCGTCATCGACACCTGCTAGATCTTCGACGACAGCAGCTTCTGCGGGAGCAGCCTTGGCCTTCTTCGTCTTCTTGCCCTTAGCTTTACGCTTACGACCGGTAGTCTCTTCTGCGTATGAGTCGTCTTCATCCATGTCATCTGGAAGCTCATCCGACTCATCTAGGGTCGCAAGCTGGCGATCCGACATGCCGGGCTCAAAGGCATCGTCTGAATCAGGATCGGTAAAACCCGGGGCCGCGCTCGATTCGCGCGAACCGACAGTATCGCTGGTAGGAGTGACCTTCCGCCGCTTCTTCGACCGGGCTGTAGGTTTTGGGCTCGGAGCCTCTGAACTGGATTCGACGTCTTGGAAGCCAGGCTTCATGAGGTTGCGATGTGATACTGGCTCTTTCGCGGTTTCGGTCACCATATCCTCCGCTTCAGCATCTAGCATGACCTCACCCAGCGTCCCTGAGTCTGGCTGGTCCTGCGCCAGCTTGGAGAAAGGCGTGATCTTGCCTGTGCGGATGAGCCACTCTCGCCGGCTCTCGTTGGGTAAAGGACCCTTGGAGCCTTCTTCTGCTGCTTCGTCCACCCCATGTGCTTTGTGACGATCGTTGATACGCTGTTGTATACCATCCATCTCCTGGTCTAGGCCATCGATCTTGTCCCGATACGCTGCGATCTCGCCACGGAGTTTGGCCTTCTGCGTGTCCAGAGCTGGTAGAGCCAAACGGTTCTTGAGCTTTTGTACAGCAGCTTCCGCCCGCTTTGCTTCACCCTCGAGCTTCTCTATGCGCTTCTTGTCGCGTGCATCGGCCTGCTCCGTCATCATCTGGTCCGCCTGCCTGCCAATATCGCGTTCCAAGTCATCCTGCGCTCGTGTGCCAGTCGTGAGCATCTTCAACCGTGCCTCCTCGTCGGCATCTGACGGTATATCCTCTGCTGATTCTTCCCCACCATCATGCATGGTCGCATCGTTCGAGTTGTCTGGATTGGTGACGGTGATCTCAGGCGCGGTGGCGAGCGCAGCGTTCTCGGAGGGCGACGACATGACGACAGTTGTCGCAGTCTAAGAGGGCTTCGAAAGCGGTTCTATTGACACCGGGAGTCTCGAGCGGGATTTGAACCGCCGTGCGTGGTGTGCGTCGGATTACTCGTGGGTAGGAGAATTCGTGATGAGTTGCGCCGAAGGCAACAGCGCCAGGTCGAGGAACGTGAAGCGGGAAAAACCAGCACTAGAGACGGGAGTGAGCCATCACGGGTCAGCAGGCAGTTCGCGCATGAGCTGTGACAAACAGCGTCGAGGTGAAAACGTCGTAGGCGACAGGTGCGACCGTGGTTGACAGCTGCACTTTCACTCGAGGCGATGATATCACTAAACGCGCTAGTTCGCGGGCAGCTTCCGCGGTATCGCGTCGCTCCTACTCTAGCAACCTCACAACCCATCTGACATCGCACCTCAAGAACACCTTCTCTGGAGCCTGTGGTACTACAACCGACAAACTCATTTCATCGATTCAGGAACGTTCTCTAATATCACTAATGGCGTCGACCTCGTAGTCATCGACGTCACTGGGCTAGTCTTCATCCTTTCGCTTCATGCCACTCACCACGAGCGGTTTTCATAACATCATCCCGTCACCCTCAAGATTGTGAACTGATCCTTCGATGCTCCCTATCACAG